AATTCCCGCAACACTGTCCAACTATTTACGAAGTCTGCACTACTATTACTATTAATCTTCTCATCGCTCCTTATCACCTATCCCCTACCACTTGTGACTGTTATATTGTAATTTTGTATCCTTATGATTTATATTGACTGTTTCCTAGTATTTGATTGCTTATTGTACCCTATGACTATCATTAAGTGTTGTACCTTATGATTCTTGACTCTTGACGAATGCATCTTTTCTTTTATGTATACTGAGAGTATTTGCACTAAGACAAATTCCTTGTGTGTCCAATCACACTTGGCCAATAAAAAATTCTATCTATCTATATAAACTGACAGCAAACTACAGTCCATACTAGCACTGATGTTACATAATTTGGGTAATGAAATGTCTGCAAAAAAACAAGCTCAGAGAACACCAAGGACCCCACATGTCAACCCTGAGCTACAAATATTCTCCTTTATTAGTCTCTTTTCATTCTCACACAATATCTCATCCTGTTTTATATTGCTTTTCAAAACTTCAAAAGCAATAGTAACAGTGATAATAGGCACAGCTTCTCCCTTTATCTCACATGGTTTTGTTAATTCACCATTATCTGTGCATTTTGTGAAGTATAAATTGATTTCACCATTTGGTTAAATTTTCTCCAAGGTACATTACTTCAAAAATTTTGAACAAAAAAAATAAGTTCAGATTGTCAAATGCTTTTCTGCATTAAGAAAGATAAATTTAGCTCTCTTTATTATGTTGTTCCAAAAATTCCAAAATATCAAGTATATTTCTAATATTGTCCCTTAACTTTTTCTCTGACATAAGCTCAGAGACAAGGTAGTGAGGTCCAATCAAGTTCAATCATTTATTATCTGAATTTTATTAACATACTGTTAAGTAACTAAGTGCTTAGAAATTAAACATTAAAGTGCTTTGATTAAATTAAATTATTCAAAGAAATATCTTTGAAAAAAAATCCATTCCCAATATTGTGTATTGGGAATGCGCACATTTTTGCCTGACTATCAACCAATGATAGTTCTACAATTTTAGGTTTATATAAAAAATAACTCAATTTCTCCATTTCCATTGGTTTATATACAAATTGAATTCCCGCTGAAATGAACTCATCTACATTTTTATAAATAAAATGTTCATTTCCAGTATACATTTCATGTACAAAAATTACATTGTTTCCATTTTTTTTTTCAAATAATAAAACAATTTTCATACTTTTGAGGGAGCTTTTGCTGCATTTATCTTCCACATTAGGCATTTGAATCCATAATTATGCCAAAATTTAGAAGTGTAAATCTGTAGCATAGTGTAGTGTATATCTATCATGGTAGTCTCTTCCCCAGTCTTTGTGCCTGCTGCATACTTTTCGTCACTTCTATTTGCATTTCTTCCACATCTTTTTTTCCCTAGGAAATCTCTTACTTTTTGAATTGAATTGACGTGAATCATCTGCTATTTGTCCCAGCAATATGGTATCTTTTTCTGTTTTGCTGTCAGTCAAAACAAAGAGTGTTGTGGTGGCTGAGTGGTGAAGATGCTTGCCTCCCATTTGGAAGGTTGAGAGTTCAATCATAGTAGTGGCAGATGTTTCTCTTCTAGGGTGCAAAGGGGGAAAAAATCTGCAAATTCTGTGTTGCTTCAGGAAGGGCATCCAGCCAATAAATGCTCAGCTCCATCCAGTTACCTTGACTCTACCCCAAATTAAGGGATTACTTGTTCGTAAAAAGTTTGTTTATTTATCAGTCAAAAAGAAATAATCTTATCTCTTAAAAACAATTACATCTGTTATTGTTAATCTTCAACCTAGTATTAAAGTCTTGCTCGAGAACTTGGGTCTTTGTATGTTCTTCCAGACAAAGTACTCAAGAATATACCTTGGTACATTTTTAAACTTCGCATATCATGTATTAATCCTGTAAATTTTGCTTCCATATCATCTTCATTCCATTCCAAAAATTTTGTTAAAGATTGAACAATCTTCTCTATCTTCACTAGGATCCTCAGGAATTACTCTAAATCTTAAACAGAATGGGGAAAAATTCACTTAACAAATATCTCACTTAACAACAGAAATCTTGGACTGAATTGTGGTTGTAAGTCGAAGACTACCTGTATTTTTTTTTCTTAAGACAAAATGAAACTTTGTAATTGCATTCTCTGCATTCCTGGAACCATAAGAAGAAAGTTACTAGGGTAATTAAAAAAATCTAACTTTCCTTCTGTACAATATAATCAAAATTTATCATAAACAACCAGAAATGACACATATTACATAGCCCAATGCAAGGAATTTTAAGTATTGTAAAGAAATAATCTTGAAACAGGAAGTGGTTAGTAGCATTTCAGTTTAAATGTACACAGATTTGTAATTGTCTATAACAGTGGTCATCAACTGGTGGGCCGAGGACCACTTGTGGTCCATGAGAAAATTTTGGTAGTCTGCAGAGAAATGTCCCCCCCAAACCACTCTCCAAAGCAATTAATCCAGGCTGCGCTGCCCACATAGCCCGCCCACCTGCTGGTCCCCACCCTTCAGCCGAGTGCAAACCCTACCTTGAGTAGAGCCACGCAAGCTGGAACTGGAAGGCAAGATCAACGGCAGGGGAAGGAAATTCACCCTGGGGTGACTACTGCAGCTCTGGAATATGGGACCAACTTTCCCACTAATGTCAGCAAGCCAACGTCAGTTAAAATTCATATTAGTGGTTCGCAGGATCTAAAATTATGAGTGTTGTGGTCCCTGAGGTCCAAAAGGATGGCGACCCCGGTCTATAAATTTCATTAATTAAAAAATAATAATTTACAAACAAGCTAACAAATATATGTTATTTTGTTAATGTAAATGTATGCAGTGGCAGTTTGATTTAGTGGTTAAGACACCAGGCTAAAAAGCAGATCATGAGTTCAAATCCCATCTAAGTCATGAAAGCCAGCTGGCTGTCTTTGGGCCAGTCATTCTCTCTCAGCCCAACCCACCTCGCAGAGTTGTTGTGGGGAAAATAAGAGGAGGAAACTGTGGTGGATATGTTCATCACCTTATTTGTAAAAACAATAAAGTTGGGAAATAAATGCATACATGCATACATACATATACACACATACAACACTAAGATATTCCTAGACAATAATGGACAGAGATGTCAACTACTGTATAAAAGAGGGTTTTTTTTCCAGTTTTTACAGATGTGTATGTATATTTTATCTTTATAGGCATTCAATTTTAGATTCTAATGACAACTCCACTACCATGTTGCTCATAACAAGTCAACCAGTACTAATTTTACTCCAGAACAAGAATACATTAAAATTAAACAACGGGGCAATAGCACTTCTAGTAACAAAACTCTCTTTGAGCAATTTTTTTTTACACATATAAAATTACATGAAAATAATACCACTTCCTTTCTTTTCTTTTTCTTTGTAGATTTTTATTATGGAAAAACTTCTTAACTTACAAAAAAGTCCTAGGTCAGAACTAATTATTCCAAATTGTTAGCCATAAGAAAAAAAGAGCTGAATTTATATTTGCCACACCAAGATCTAGTTAGGTTGATAACTACCAAACTTTGATAGCTAACCATATTTACCTTTATTTGGAATTAGTGCTGTATTGCAATCCCACTAGATCTTCTCTTGCTCAGATTTCAGCTTCAGTTCCGATTATGCTCACCTTGGCTCACAACAAGAAAAATCAGGAGGTCTCAGCAGAAATTTTTCTCTTCCCCCGAGATTCTTGGCACACTGCTATGCAGCATCCACAACAGCTCTGAGGAATACTGTTTCCATGGTACCCATAAACCATACAAAGCATTGGGATGCCTTGAGAAGCTTTTATTTCCCAGGAGCTTTTCTATGTAGTAATAGGGATATTCCAGAAGACACTAGAATAAGAACTTCTTGTCATTATGTCCTAATAAATTAAGAAGATGATGACATGAAGGCTACTGTTTGTGGACTGCTAATTTACCCTGCTGTTTAGTTTCAGATTCTTTTTAATACTGTCTTTTGATTATTTTCCCAGGGTAGTTTACAACCATGCAGAAAAAATGTAATGAAAGAAAATAAAATAACCAAAGCATAACGGAGTTACTTTGGGAAAGCAAAATATATTACATGTAGGAAGAGGAGGTATATAAGTTACTATGCAATAAATAAAAACATAAAGATTTTTATTATACATTTATCATACTAGGTATATTTAAATGCATGATACATTAAAATTAAGTAAGAGTTGTGCCAGTAACTTTGCCACAAAATACCAAAGGGCTAATAAATACATTTCTTCTTTCTAAACTAATTTCTACAGTGAGCAATGGACATGATAATTTCTCAATTTTCTGAATCTGACGTACTATTAATATCTTTCTTTTTTAAAATCTTTGTGTGAACTCTTACAAATTGAAGATTTTCTTGAATTGCACCCATATTACAAACATCTCTGAATTTCAGATGAGCTATAGCTCCCGAGTGGTTTTCAAGGGCATCTTGAAAATGCATTGCAGTAACCGAGATTAGGGGTGATCCTGAGCAAGGAGTTCTCCGGAAATGCATGCAATTGGCACAGAAGATGGATTTTTGCAAAAGCCCTCCTGACAATGGTTGTCACCTGCTATTTTGTAGGACAGTCAAGCTGGGGAAGTATTGTTTCTCACTAGAATCAGAAATTCAGGGCAGGCCAAGTCTTTTAGGGCCTGAAGTCTGGAAGCAGTGGTGGGATTCAAATTTTTTTACTACCAGTTCTGTGGGTATAGCTTGGTGAACATGGTGTGGCTTGGTGGGCATGGCAGGGGAAGGATACTGTGAAATCTCCATTCCCTCCCCATTCCTGGGGAAGGTTACTGCAAAATCCCATTCCCTCCCCACCCCACTAACCTGCTTTCCAGCTCCATTCTCCTGTGCAGGACAACAAAAGAAGACTCAGCCAATCAACTGGGAATTGGGAGGCAGAGAATAGATGGGTGCGGGATCAGTCAGAGGTGGTATTTGCAGGTTCTCGAAACTACTCAAAATTTCCGCTACCAGTTCTCCGGAACTGGTCAGAACCTGATGAATACCACCTCTGTCTGGAAGGATGCATAATTAATGATCTCAAAGGCCACCGAGAGATCAAGAAGAACTAGAAGGGATGTACCACCATTATCCCAAATTCTGTCAAAGTACAATCAGTGCTAGTTTAGAACAGGAAGGGAACGTTGAAGACAGGATAAAAAAATCTCCTACTTAATGATAAATTTACACTATCTGGACCCAATCACATATCTTTTAGAAGGCTTTGATCAACCACAGCACCATGGATCTAAAATATAAGTATTTGTACTAACAGCCCCAAAGATTCCATTCATTTATTTGCCTTGACCAACTGATTCAAACTCCTTCCAAACAATGCTTCAATCAACTTCACAGACCGTTCATGACCAGATTCCAGCTCAGAGCAGATCTGAGTGATTACCTGTCAGACCAACCAAACAATGACCCTCCATTCATTGAGGGACTGGGTCAAGCTATCAGCCAACAATCTGTAGATGCAGTAGTAGTAGAAAAATAATAGATATTGCTGTATCTTCACAAGAGAATCCTTAGTAATGGCTCTTACCCATTTTTAGTTGGACTTGCTTTGCTTTTCTCTAAAGATACCCTTCTGCTGCTTCATTTCTTGGAATTCCTGTGCAAAGAGGGTTTCCAGGATCCACAAGCAGCGAGAGATTACATATGCACAATCCAATCCAACTTTTTCACTGCAGACAGCAACTAAGGCTTCAGCCTTTGTATACTATGCCGGAGAATCTCAAGGGAAGAATATTATTAATACATACTGCCAAACTGGTTGGATATCCAGAAAAGTGCAGTATAAGTTAGTTGCCATATGAAGCTGATATCTCCTGGTGCAGTAAGTCTGACTACTGAGTCAAGTAACTCATGTAACTCAATAGCAGGGAAACTGCTATTGGAAGCTGGTATAAACTAGCTGCCATTCTATCTGATCCCTATTTGATTTCTGGTATTCCAAACTTCAGAAACAGGATCTCATATCCTGTTATCTGCATATCAGTTTCTCTTTAAAGCCACAAGATGACTGGGATTGCAGCTAGTACCGTACTCAAAACCTGAAAATGACTATCCTTCTAATCTCTCTTACCAAGTAAAAGTGAACAGAAATAATTTGAAAACTTTAGCTATTAGATCCAAATGGCATTAAACGTTTGGATTTTAAGTTGCGCTGAATATTTAACAGGCAAATGCAAACAAGATAAATCCTCCAAAAGTCTAAAAACTAGATGCTGTATTCAGAAATACTTTTTTTTTTCAAGCTGTAATCAAATTCTTCTACTGTAGTTATAAAAAAAAATAAAACGACTAAAAATAGCTTGGGTTGTAATTTGACAGAAACAAATGTTAGTGTAACATAGCTTGAATTCTTCCCTCAGCGGAAATATTCTTCCAGAAACACACAATTTAAAGTCTAAAAACATAATGTGAAATGGTTATTGGGATAATCATATCATTAATGGGAACAACAGGTATTTAATGTACACAGGCTTCTATATGTTTTTTTCTGTTCCACTCTGCGTTTCTGTCATGAAGTTTCTATGCTGGCACTTCTGATCACCCATATATTCTAAGTGCATTCTACAACATACTCTCTGTTACCACTGCATATCAATATCAGCATAAACCCAGCAGTCTAACATCAGAGCAACAGGGTTGTTGTTTTTTTGGTAAAGAATATTTGCATTCTTGTTTAATATGGTTATAACCAATGAAAGTGTATTTAAAATAATGATAAGTATATTCTCTGAAGATTTTTTTAAGTTTGATTTTGAAATTTAATATTTTAAAAAAATCTGCCTTAGCTTTTCAGAAACTCAGAGACAGTTTCATAGTTACGCAGTATTGTCTTTCCGAAAACAAGATGGGAAGGAGGCGTTTGTAACATTCTAAATAATTTTTATATTGTCAATATATCTTTCCCTCCTTCTCCACAGCAAAACCGTGACTAAGAGACTTAGAGTATCATTGCACCTAAAAGTGACCTTGTACTTGTTTTGCCCATAGAATACAACTGTATGCAAACAAGCTGCGTTACTGAATCAAGTTTTTTTAAAAAAGAAATATAGTTGGGGTGGAGAATGTAGTAGTCTCACTACGATTATCAAGGCCTGAAAGTTTCTGTGGTGATTTACAATGGTTGCAAGGGTATTTCTTCATGGTGAGGTATCTCTCTCTCTCTCTTGGACTAGTCATTTATGCAGAACATAAGGATATTCTAGTGACTGTGTGACCTTTAGTGTTATAAAGTAGTATTTTATATACTATAAATTATTCTATTGTGAATTATAATCACTTTTTGTATTCTGTTATGAAGATTACTAATCAAGACAAAGGTGTTAAGGGAAATATTTGTTAATTTATTGAACTTATATCTTCCCTTTGTTAAGAGCGGCTTTCAATAACTCCCTGATTTGTCCTATGACCATTCAGCAACATATCTTCTCATTTATATTAAAATTTGTTTTATTTTTTTCATCCAGTCCTTAATATCAAAAACAGTTTAGATCATGAGAATTACAGCCACAGGTACAAGTCTATTTTTTTTAATCCTGTGAGGAGGGAAGGAAAATTTACCAATTGCTCAAGGTCAGGCCTAATGTTCTTTGACACAAAGTTGTTACTGTAGTTATCATTTCATGTGCAACTGTCAGGCAAATCTTCTCAACTGTCAGCACTTGGTGAGAGTTAGATAAGGGTCAATGGCAGACAAAGGGGGATGGACTAGTTTGTATGTGGCTACATAGTGATTTTACACCGATCCCTCTTTTCACCATTTTCCCTAGCCAGTCCTTTTCCCACATCAACAAGGCACAACATCTGTAGTTCTGTGAACAAGCATGAACGTTCAAAAGTATGTCAATGGTAAAAAAAATGCAAAAACTAATAATTAGTTATATATTTTTAAAATTAAAATTTTGGAATAGATAAAGAGTTCTAAACTGTGACCAAATATATGCACCTTTTCCCAGTCTTATTGAAAAACACTCTATACTCCTTTGCTGCTTTTCACACTATTTTTAAGATGACAACAAACACTGCAGAAAGTAAATCCCTCTCTCTCCAACTCCAGTCTGAAATGTTTACGAGTTGTTGCCAATCAGTAAGGGGGCAAGCAAACTGATTTTGAAAAATCAATTGCTTCTTTTAGTATAGGCCAGTTCCCCCTTCCTTATATACAGATGATGAGAATGTGCTAAAATAATGAAATTATCATAGTGTCAAAAAGACTCTTAAGACGATTGCACTATCTGTATCATGGAATGTGAAATAAATTATAAAGCATATATTAAATACACATTATTGTATTACCATAGGCTATAATCATATATATTATGGCTTTGCCCTTTTTATTCTTAAAGAAACACATGTGAAAGTATCACCCAATAAATTGCATCCATTTTAAATGATTCAGCATAATCATTTGTATTTTATTTCAATTACTGTCAATCCTAAATATCTAACTCACTATACAAATATAGAACTGATGGTGTGATTTGTCATCTCTCTTTAGCAGTAAGGTCATTTAGGAAAAGAGAACTATATATCATGAAAGTTGAGATATCTTGGAGTTGGATGTGGATTACCTAATAAAAAGCCACAGTGAGTTACAAAATTCATGAGGTAACCTGGGAGTCTCTTATAGAAAAAGCAGGGCACAAAACAATGTCAAATAAAGTACCTCTGAAAGAATTCTATATATTAGTCTTATTCTTTTAAATCTGAAAGCTATAGCAATTAAAGCTGTTTTGGTATTTACAATTTTAATGTAAGACATGTAGCAATAGCAATTATTGCGTATTTCAGGCATTTGCAGATACATCTTGTTAATTTAATTTTAAAGGTTAAATTGAAAGCTCATCATGTTACAAAATCTGCAATGGTTTTCCAACTGGCATAATTAATGGAGTGTTTTCCCAAAAATATTTGTATTTTGCAAAGATAAAAGACGGGTGTAATTTAAAAACCTCCAGCTTCATGAAAAATGTTTTATTGAGTATGACATACAATAAAGGATTGTTTTGAGTTTTTCTATCGATTGTCATCATTTGTATTTTAACAAAATCACTATTGTTCTATTTTTATAACATTTTAGCTAATAAATCCTTAATTATAACAGCCTAAGACTATTTTCAGAAAACTATGAATAGTGATTCAGAAGGAGAAAAAAAGGTTGGATATGAGAAAATGTTCTACCCTTGTCCAGCAACCAACCCAGTAACTGATGACGGAAAGGCAAACAGCTTGCAACTATACACAGAGAGAGAGAGAGAGAGAGAGAGAGAGAGAGAGAGAATGAATAAATTTAAATCACAAACCTATCTACCTTACAAAACCTGATCAAGAAAAGGGTGGAAAGTAGCATGACAGATCAATGTTTTCTAAATTTTTCAATTAATGTAATACAGGATTGGTGGATAATTTGAAAGTATCTCAAACTTCACCATTTCAAACATAAGAAAAGTTAAACGCTTTAGACTCCTGTGCCATCTTCTCACAATTATTTTCCATTTCCAATATGCACTACACAGTTCTCTGCAATTTAATCTTATCTTTACCTTTTTTTAACCTTATTCAGCTGACTATCCCTAATTTCATTTCATATCCATAAATTCATTCATGACTATTGCTGGATAGGCGTAACAGAAACAATATATCTCTCTGTTCTATAATACATGGGAATAGGATCCGAACTGTTTTCACTTTAATATGTGTGCTAACTGTATGTGTACATGTGAACTAAAATATGTGACTTCACACCTGAATAGCTAATTCAGCTAATTGTTCTACCGTTTAATAAAAAATAGCAATCCAAATGATTTTCAATTCTGCTACACAAATATCACGCCTCCAGAAAGGGGCTCTTCATTCCTGCATCAATCCAGAGGTTTGGGCATTTTCATATAGGTTATGAAAATTATTTCAAAGAGTTGATGCCCTGAAAATTTAAATAATTGATTATAAAGGT